GACAAGAGGAAGGACTGTCCGGCAAAGACAGCTGCTGCATGAGAACGATGAGAGGAAGATACACCATGAAATCCACACCATTACGCACGCAAGAAGCAAGTAACCGAAGTACAAAATAATACCGGTACCAAAACATCAAGTATTCGAAGTACAAAATAGTACAAGCACACGAAAAACCACGGTCGCCCTCGACACGTTTCGTCTACCCCGTGCGTAGACTCATCAGGAGGTACTCAACAAGTACTAATCATTGCTCAACGGAGGTCATTCCCAATGCCTTGCCTCCTTTATACTTATCATACACCAACTCGAATCCCCACCCAGGCCATTGCAACTCGAATCTCGGATCTACAACAAAACAGTGATCGCAGAAGCTTCGAACAGGTCAACGGTGAAAAGACGTAGGATGATCCAAATACAATGATGTCCAGTCGACAGAACTGAGAAGGACCCATGTCGATGCTGCAAAAAAAACCTGCACAACACAGAGTGAGCCGAGTGAACGACATTGCGGTAATGCTCGGGAACGCTTACTCGGTGCCGTCGCGATTGCGCGCTTGATATGTGAACTTGCGGAGAGCGAGACTACGTACTAACTGACATTTCGTTAAAACTGACATTTTTTTCTAAATTCACGAAAGTGGACTTAGTCAAAATTTCATTGCTTATCGGGTGAGAAAGTGGTTATCTCACTTTGTCCATCTGATGTACCTCAACGTAAAGTACCGTTAACATACATCCGATGGTCAGATCATCGGGAGTCGCCACGACACCCGATGATCTGATCATTTGACGTCATGGGGACAAAAAAACACTAAAAAATGTTGTCTTTTTGTACGCTCAATTTCGTGAATTTAGAAAAAAATGTCATTTTTAACGAAATGTCAGTTTACTACTGCGTGAGCTATCGCGATGTGCAGATTGATTGCGGTATTGATTATTATTATTATTATTATTATTATTATTATTATTATTCATTATTAATCTTTCATTTATCCAGTATTGGTTCGATCTTGCTATTCTCTATCACCGCGAGTTGCCAGCGGACCTACTCCACCACGTGGACGAAGGAGGCGGATCGAGGCAACCGACTGCACCTGGAGCTGCAGTACTGCTAGCGATCGTATTCGCCTGCCCAGCAAGGCGCATGTACGCTCGAGGCAGGGGGAGGGGGAGATGAAGGTGGTTGGGGTATAATCGTTACTGGATGAAGGGACGTGCCGGGGCGCAGACCCCACCGGGAAGCGTAACCACTCCTACCAACGTACAAGCACCTGCGCAACCAATGCAGATGATGACGGTACCAGTTGCGGCGCAGCTAGCTATGCAGATGCAACCGCCCACGGGTTTTTTTCCATCAGGATATGGGTGACAGCCATTACCACCACCCCCGAATTGGGGGTATGGACAGCGTCAGCCAAGCGTGAACTCCTTCCCGGGACCAGGACAACAGGCCTGGTTCACGAAGGAGCATCTTGAGCTGATCGAGAAATGGAAGTCGAGAGATCTGGTGGAGGAATCGCAGAAATCTTCATATGGAGAATCGAGTGGCGTGGGATCTGCGAAAGGAGGAGGGAAGAAAGGGAGAGCAAAGGATAGCAGTGGCGAGAGTGAGTTTAGGATTAAGGCCTGGATTGCGAGCACCTTCGGAAGCTCCTTGAAGAAAATTGCGGACAAACTGGAGGACGTGGATCGAAAAGCATAAGTGGCTCTGGACGTGAAAGGAAAGAAGAAGATCAAAGAGGAGCAGCGTGATGATGAAGGAAGTAGCGAGAAGCGAAAGCGAGAGTTCGACTCCCCTTTGATTGCAAAATCAAGGTCGAAGTTGAGATCGAAAAGTGCGGGCGGAGAAGTGAAGATCCGCCCTGTGCGAATCAATATCTCCGATGATGAAGATACTTGGGGGAACATGGAGGTGCAACACGAAGCGGTTGGGAACGCAGCAGAGGAAGCCAAGATGGACGAGATTAAGGATATGCTACAAGCCTTGATGAAGAGAATCGACGCTAATTCTGTCGTGAAGAAGAGCGACACGATCGAAGCAGCAACGGTGGTCCAGAACGCTGACAACGTGTCGATCGATGAAGAGGATCGGAGAGAGAAAGGCAAGGGAATGGACTCGCAGAACGAAGTGGTGGAGTACATGAGGTGTAGACTGAACTTCTACATGACCAAGAATTACAAGGAGATTAAGACGCTGTGCAAGAGTCGGGACGTGAGATGTGACCGGAAAGATAGAGGAGCCTGGGAACTAGCCAAGCAAGACACGGACCAGTTTACAAAGCTGGTTAACAACATTGAGGATGAAGCTGAAGTTGAAGAGGCGTCGGACGATGATGAAGAAAACACGGCCGAAGGAGACGACTCTGAAGATGACGAGGAAGGCAATGTCTAGGGGAACTAGGCATATCTAAGCGTAGTTTGACACGCCTCCTCCAGAAACTGAGCATTTGGCTCAAGGAGACATGCTGCAAGGACAACACACTGATTCGAGAAGTGAAAACAGTTTTTAGAGGACTTGTCATTTATGCATGCCTACGGGTTTTTTTGATCTGGGGACGAACTTTCATGAAGTACTGGTGCGGGATGACTGATAGGGATCTACAGAATATCTGTAGTGCTGAGTCATGCGTATATGTACTGATTTCACCCTTCTTTAAGCAAACGTATGTCGGTCAAACTGGGCGTAGCTTGCCGGAACGGTGGAGGGAACACAAGCTGAGTGCCCGGGTTGTCGACCCCCGGACCCGGGGCCCCGGTGGGGGTCCCGGGGGTCGGGGGTCGGC